GGCAGGAGGCGGTCTCTCAAGTACCTAGATCCACTACCATGAAGGGCTTTGTAGGTGGTAAGTAGCACCTTGGCCTTTAAAAAATTAAAGATCAGAAGTAAAGCAAAACACTGAAATTCAGGTTAACAGAACAAATTCACGCATTTCCAACTCAGAATTCAAGATTTAACTCTTAAAGAAATTCCCTAGTCTTATAATGACTGTCGTACCTTGTTTCAAAACAAAATGAATCTGAACAATTATTTCACTTACCTAATAAACTGACCAAAATTTTGAACTGGGATACAACGTGGATCTATTAAAAATAAAATTAAAAATCATGTAAATAAGCTTTAGGTAAGTTTGTTCAAAGTTAACTTGCTTCAAAGGACTCTAAAATATAACTGATTTATAAGTGGATTCTCATCTCTAACAAAGTAACCCTTCAGTGAAAATTATGGAATATCTAATGAAATAAACTACAGATAGTCCTTGACTTACAACAGTTCATTTAGTGACCAAAGTTACAATGGCATTGACAAAAGTGACTTATGACAGTTTTTCACACTTACAATCATTGCAACATTTCCTTGGTTATGTGATCAAAATTCGGATGCTTAGCAACTAGTTCATACAGTATTTATGACAGCTGCAATGTCCCGGGGCCATGTGATCCCCTTTTGCAACTTTCTGACAAGCAAAGTCAATGGGGAAGCCAGATTCACTTAGCATACCAACCGCAACGATTCACTTAACAATGTGGCAAGAAAGGTTGTAAAATGGAACAAAGCTCACTTAGCAAATGTCTTACTCAGCAACATAAATTTTAGATTCAATTATGGTCTTAAGTTGAGAACTACGTGTAATTTATAATTTAGGTGGTCAATAAATCCCATCTAGTCTGACTTCTCCCCAAGCAAATTATTTGTTATTTAACAGGGGTTTTTATATCATAAAAGAAATAAGCATATTTCTTATGGGACAGCAATCACAAACACATATCACCCATTACACTCACATATATCAAATATGAAAATAATTAAAATATTATAGAAGCCAAAGTCAATTGTACAGCCATTTCCAATCACACCAGCCAATGAAGCCTAAGTTTCACAGAAATTAACAATCTTAGCTGAATCTGAATTTGCCACACCTACCTGCTGTATCTTCTTGGAGAAGTTCTTGTTTGATTTTTCTAATGTGACTTCAAACCTGTTGCAGCCTATCAAACAATATATGGATTTAGAAAAGACATATTTTAAACTAGCTATTTATTCAACTTGCATTTATCAATTAAGGAATAATGCCATATAAACTTCTGAACTTAGATTAAAGGAGATGCAAGTCTCACAACTCCATTTGAAGCCTGGAAAAAATAGTACAGCACATTATCAGAAAATCACAATTGATTATCTAACTACTAGAAAGCTTCCACTATTAATTTTCATTTCAAGACAATCTCTTTTTCTTTGAATTCAGGGAGTCGCAGAAATTGAAAAATGGTTTTGCAGCCTTTTCAGGCTGTCTGACTTTAAATGTTACTTTTTATTTACCATCTCTGTGATAAAAATATTACTATGATGAATAGATTCCCAAGTTTCTGAGATTTATATGGGACAGAACTGATTCAAATCAGCCATGATCATACATTGAAGATCTAATTCAACTAGCCCTAATAAATTGTTGATTTAAGGGAGAGAATCCCTTTTTTACAGTCGTAATTCATACTATTCGATTCTAATTTCTGTTCTAATTCATATTTTACAGACGATTTTAAAGTCAAAGGAATCAAGTATGAATCTGACTGACTTTTTAAAACATGTTATGTCTAATTCTAAAATATAATGAAATTTTGCATGGAATTAAACATGATATAAGGAATATAGGATATTTCAGGTGAGGCAATAAACTCTATCATATAAGTTGTATACACAGCTATTGGATTATTAATAATATTAATTTTATTTCTCAAATAAGCTTTAACTGGAAGGGTTCACACATAGTACAACAGCATAAACCACAATTTGTTTATGTAACACAAACTAAACCTAAAACAAATATATATAAATATATATATAAATTTGCACAATAAATAAAGTTGGCATAAGGCTAAAAAAAGTTTCTGATTCTTGGCAGATATTCTGTTTTAACTAGGTAAAGGGCCTATCTTGTATGAATCTGCCGTAAAATACAATGAAGTAACAGACAGTTCTCAACTATCCAGAGTTATTATTATTTGTTAACATGCAAAGGGTGGTAAATCATTACAAACTTACCAGTTTCTTTTCGAATTCTGTAAAGTAAAAGATGTCCTTGTTTAGTCCCAACTAGGAGCCATTCTTCTACAAATGAGAAAACACTTAATTTGCACCAGCAATATTCTATTTTTTCCTAAGAAATTCATAGTTTTAAAAATATTTCAATAAAAATAATGTTCAGTTAACATATATTTTCTAAGGCCAAATTTACAGGGCAATCCTATCCATATCACCAGGTCTAATTGCCTGGTGATAACTAAGTATGGCATACCTCTGCATGGCTCTATAAATGAACTGAATGGGTTTTTTAATAATCAAACATTTGAAGGGGGGGTTAAGCATTGGAAAGCATCCGAGAGTGTTATACAGTACAATGTTTGAAATTTGAAATGTCTGGACATTCCACTATTCCCAGAGAGGAAGAAAATACAAGCTAGAAGTCGCATTCCTCATCAGACTTTATTAAAATAAATGCAGTTAAATCAGAAAACACAAAGTAATTTGGCATTGGTGTTCATTTATTAAATGTGAATGTTGGCTTTTCTCCAGGCACCCCAATAAGGCAACATGGGACACTTCTCTCCCAGAGAAGTTTGCCTTTGAATCTAGTTCTCCCTTTCTAGACCCGCATCGACTCTGCCTGGGGAAAAGGCAGGCAATGCTTTTCTTTCTCATGACTCACGTGAGAGTCACGTTTTAAAAATCACAACACGCAAAGCGCTCAAGTTGTTCCAGCATCATCTATCAACGCGCGGGGAAACTGGCAAGATTTCGCCCTTGCTGGGACCCCAATGTTAGATTAGTTCGCTCAACATAACAACACTTGGTGGGAGGGAGGGAGTAGAAAACGGATCCTTGCACAACAAGACTTTGTGGTTGTGACTCTCGACACACAACGTCACTGAAATGTGAGGAGGGACAAGCGGGTGCCGAATCCCGGAGGGGCGCCCTGCACTCACCCCAAGCCGCCAAGCAGTCGATCTGCAGCGGCAGTTTTTCCAGGATCGTCACTGGCTCGAAGGCGTCGTGCATGACGGCGACAGGCTGGCTTCTCCTCAGAAGCGACGGGCCGTTGCCCCAGAGCTACCAAGGAGGGCCCGAGCGACGACGGTGCCAACAACCCTCAGCCACAAAAGCTGAGCCTGGGCCGCTGCAACGTTTCCGGGTTGCTCTTCACTTCCGTAGCCAGGCTCCGCCTCTGACAAGCAGAGCAGGCCGGGTTTCTTCCCCCCAGGTTGCCGGCTATCTTCGGCGAGTCCGGCCTCCGGTTGGCGGACCAAAGCCTGCCGCTCCGGTTCCAACCGCAGAGGTTACGTTAAGCATCTGCCTTTGAGTATTTTTTCAGTGGAGCCCGTCTTGGGGGGGTCAAAGCAGGCGAGGGACTAAAGAAATCTGCAGCAAAGGGCGACTGGGAACTCCAAAGCGCGAAAGCTCCTACCGTAGGATGGATAGTGCGCTCCTTGCATGGGCTTCTTTTATTTTATTTATTTCGCCAGGCATGTATTAGATAACATATATAAGTATAAACATGATTTTGGATACATGAAATGGATGCGAATAAAAAGAAACATTAGGACAGGGACGGTAGGCACGTTGGTGCGCTTATGCACGCCCCTTACAGACCTCTTAGGAATGGGGTGAGGGCGACAATAGACAGTTTAAGGTTAAAGTTTGGGGAGGGGAGGTTGGGGAAGAAACCACAGTAGTGCATTCCAGACATTGACCACTCTGTTACTGAAGTCGTATTTTCTGCAGTCCGAGTTTGGAGCGGTTTACCTTAAGTTTGTATCTATTGCGAGCTCTGTATTGTTATGGTTGAAGCTGAAGTAGTCACTGGCAGGTAGGACATTGTAGCAGATAAGTTTATGTACTATGCTTAGGTGGCGTAGTTCTAAATTGTCTAAGCCCCAAATTTCAACTCTGATGGCATAAGGTATTCTGTTGCTAGCAGAGGAGCGGAAAATCTGAAATATCTCTGGACTCACTCAATTGTGTTAATGTCCCATAGCAGTGTGGGTTCCAGACAGATGAGCTCAAATGTTTTGTATACTCTGGTTTCTGTTCCAAAGAAACTTTTCAACATTTAAGCCATTGCCTTTCTATCCTGCATTATTGTTTGTGTGTTTGTTGTAGATGTAGCATAGTGTCCATACAATTCATTCCTGCAACTATATTACAAGAAAAGGAATCCATTGTAACTCCTCCACAAATGTGGGTGGATCATAAAGAAATATAGTTCTCCATGCTATAATGACTTGTCTCCAGAGCCTCTGCCTTTTTTTCCCTTTTCCTGGGTATATACAGTTGCTTCATTCAGCTACAGAACGATTTGTTTCAATGCAGTAATCCTAAGTAGTTATTCAACTTCCCTCGCTAAATTCACCTGGCATAACGCTTTAATTATTTTGTTTAGCATCACTTTACTATCTCAGGGTCTAACGTGCATGCTGCAGGTATGAAACATTTTTTTTAAAAATCTTCCTTTCTTTTTTGTCTTATATTCTGCCCATCTTGCCTAATAAAACCTAGATAGCTGGCATTTTTGTTTTGAATTTAAAAAGAAAAAGTAAAAAAATAATAATGGGCTGATCTCTAAAAAAAAAGGCAGTGTTTGGATTTTCTTTAAATTTATGTAATTACAATCGCAAGTTATCATGTTTTCCAGGTTAACTTCTTTTAACTTTACATCTCACACTTTGTTAAATACAATAATTTAAATTTATTATTTTATTATTTTTTGTTTTTTGTTTTTATTTCTTTTATGTTGCCATGTGTGAATAGGTGGCAATATAAATTTTCTAAATAAATAAATAAATTCTTCATGAACTTAACGTCCTTATTCTTGTATTCAGCAAACACCTTCCTAATATACATCAAAACTGAAATCGCCTAACACTTTAAAAGACATAACATAGTCCTAAGACAACAGTGCTTCTTTGGCTTTGTCATGGCATATATTTCAAACTCTAAATGGTTAATAGCGGCATTCAGGAATAACAAAAAGCTAAAATTATTCAGGATGAGCAATGTGTAAGTTCTTTGGGCCTCAGTCTTTTGACTCATCCAAACAATGACAGATATATTAAAATGCAGAAGCTGCCACTGTATCTGAACCGATGGTCTGTCCGACATTTTGCCATCAAAAATAAGACATTTCAAATAAAATATAGCAGAAAGATACACTTAGCTCATTTCAGGGTTTAAAGGCAAAAATAATTTTATTATACAGAACATAAATCTGCTAATTCAGACTGAATCAAATGAAAAAGTTCCTGTAAGACAGAGGACACCCTATTTACCAAACCACTTATATACATTGTAAGTACAACCAAAATACATCTGGGAAACAGAATTAAGCCAGTAGTAAATTCCATGTGAAAACCCAATTCCAGTTTTTTCCAGAAGAAATGACTACATCAAATAGATCTGTAGGACTCGTATTTTGGCACTAAACTTAGAAAAACACAATTTAAAGGTTTAAAAAAAATACCTTCTTTTGCACTTCTCTATGCAACTGGAAAGAAAGATCCAGCACATATACTTGCATAAATTATTCCAAGAGTATTTGTTAACCTGAATCTGTTTCTGTTGCAAGATTTGTTTATCCACCCAATAACAGGGTCAAGTTCCTTGATAGCCTCTTAAAAAAAAACCTCTCAAGTATTTCAGTATCTAAATATAATTATACAAGTGTTAAAAATGTCTCTTGGTGTAGATAATAGTTGGAAGGGAGGTAGGATGTAGAACTGTGGAAAGTAATGAAGCTACTGATATTGTACTGTAACAAGATTCTTCTAGCCTTTGGTTAAAGTGACTTGAGGACTGAGCTGCCACATTATAGTCTGCATTTTTATTGTGCATCACAGCCAGCTCCAGATCTGAAGAAACAGCTCAGAAAGATCTCTTCTTCTGTAAGCCTTGGCTATGGTTTTACCTAGAAGCAGTGAACGTAGCTATTTTAAATATCTCATTGGCCTCAGAAGACTGGTACTTCAGGCATGTTAAAAAGCTGGCGTATTGGAGTGGGATTTTAGCCCCCACTACACCAGCAGGAGTACTGGAAGCAATCAGGAATGTCACTTAAGGACTGCAAAACAGAATACTTCCCATTTATGACTAATTTTCACAAAGATCTCACCCAAGTAAATTTAGCATAGATTAATCAAATAAATGTAACAATTTAAAGTCAAACATAGCCCAACTGGAGTTTGCCACTCACAAGTAATTTCAAATCAAAAAGGCTTTTGACAAGTTAAAGTACCACTATTCATGGCTGATAGGTTCTGTTTGACCTTATGAATCAGTGGCTCAAATCTTTTTGGGCTCAATAAACTTAGCATAATTTTAACATGGAAATAGGGATAGTTGGTAACTGCTATGAGGTTCAATGGTGTTTTCAATTCAATTACTGTTCCAATTCAAATAGTTAACCGCTCAGACCTCATTGCCAGCAATGAGATAGCAACACACCTGGGATTAAGTAATAATTGGTTTTAAATACATTAAATTGAAAACATTTTTCTATGCTGTGGAATGAAAAAAGTGCACTTAATTTTGCTAAAAAATATTAAGCATCATAATTTCTCCCAAATACTTCTATTGGAGTTTTCCATAAGCAAAGGTTTTCCTTCAAAAACTCTCTTATTTTCCTAACCAGACAGCAGAATCTTCAGACAATAGTTACTGCTTCTAAGAGAAAAGGCACTGATCCTGATTCACAGATTTCTCACACACGACAGAGTGTTGCATACATGTTTTTGTATGCAAAGCACATTTACAGATGGGATGATGTTTCTGTCAGCTCTGACGGTGTCAAGTCTTCCAAGAAAAGTGGATGGAGATAGGAATTGACCCTCACCCCACCCCATTTACAGTCTCAAGTAATGGATACTGGAGTTAAGTGCAACATCTTACTGAACGTACCATGCTGGAAATTATCTACAAGCAGAGGTCACTTTTGGCTTGTTTGAAGAAACTTCTGCACATGGTTCATCCTTACTGGCTTGAAGAAACTTATTATTTTCTCCCACCCCCTTATAGTTAAATCATGGGATTTAGATCTAGTGTTGAATTAAAAGTTGCTCTGCCAATTGTTAAATGTTTTAACTGTATTACTTTAAAAGAATTTGCTGCAATAAAAGACATTTCCATAGTTTAAATAGCACACCGGCAGCAAACAGTGCAAATGCAAATTTTTCATGACCAAAATTCCCTCCATGCTGACCTCACAAAAAAATTCCCTCTGATAATAATCAGTGGTTCCAAAGTTCATGGAACATATCAGAGAAAGCAGCACTGGAACATTGCCAAATAGACAAAGTTTCTTCCATTCTCAAACAGTAAGACAGCTTTTGCTGCAAGTTGTTTCATCTTTCATTCCATCTTGGATCTTTCAAAGTGTGTGATCATTCTTTCCTGCAAGATTTAACAAATGGAACCCAATAAATATAACAACTTACTTTGCTGAAAAAATTACATTATTGTAATTGAAGAGTGATTGTGAAAAAGCCATTATTAATCTAATTGCTGCTGCTGCTGATGATGATGATATCATAAGGTTGTCAAATAGCATAAATTCAATTTCAGCATAAAGTGAGCACAATACAACTTTTATCATACACAAAATATACATTTTGTTTGCATGTGCTTTTCTAGGTGCCAGCTAAGGGTTAGCATGTGATAAACACTGACTTAAAGCTTTTAAGGCTTAGAAAACTGTTGATCTAAGCCCAGTAGGTTGTTCAAAAGAACTACCGCATGAAACAGGTAAAAGTCACCTTGACAATAAAAAGACAATCATAATAGCTCTATATTTTAAGATCCTGGGTAATATGATTTTGGATTGTCATTCAGAATGCTTATTTCCTGTATGGTAGCCTCAGCACATTTTCCAAACAACATTCAAAAATTTCTCACATCCAATTCATATTAAAATTAGTCTTAACACTATACTGTATTCTGTATCCTCTCCATAAAATATCAGGTTTATTTAGCAAGCAAGGCTTCCCCTGTCTGCAATTCTAGGTTGGACAATTCATACTTACCATTGTAAAAGCTGGTATAAGATTTTGAATGAAATATTGTTCTCAGCTTGATGTTTTTGCCAAAGGCTGACATGGAGTCTTAAGATATTTTAGACTTATTCCAGTTTAGATTTAATTATCCCCCCACATACACAGACAAAATTAAGATTTGCTGTAAAAGAATAGCTAATGGGGGGGGGGGGGTAAAGGGATGATTGCAGGGATGGGTTAAAGGATGCCATCCATAGGCTTTCTGCATAAGTATCTCAATGCAGATTATTATTATTTTTTAAATCAGGTATCTCTTATGAAATCTTTGACTAAAGTATTAAACAAAATTTTCTTTTGACATTTAGTAGTTCCCTGATACACAGACTGTTAATGCATTCAGTTTTTAATTGCTGAAATCATTTCTCTAATTATTAGCTCATGACTCTTCTTTCACATCATAGGACCTGAATTATTGCTTAAGGGTTAGTTACTGACCTCATCTGAATCCAGTAATGCTGGCAGAGCTCTGCAATTGAGAGGGAAAGAAAAACATAGTAAAACAAAGAGAAACTCATGACTGCTGCCGTGTGAGCATGAGGTATGCATATTCACCAAAATATGCTGGTGATTCAGAATGCAGGAAAACAAAAACCACATACCGTAATTAGACAAAACCTTGTATTTTTCTTTCATTGAATATTAAACAAAATTAGCATTTGTCCACATCGGCCATGTAGGACAAAGATTTCTATTTGTTCAGATATGGGGCTGCATTTGACTACTTGATAATAAATGGATGGAACAAAAAATAGGTAAGCCCAGAAAGATAATTGTATGTAATTTAATTAAAAAGGAAATGTATTAAAATGTAATAAATATGATGGTTCTTCATGTATTTATTCACTTTCTCTTCCTTCACCAGTTTTGTAGTTTTGGGGGCTGCACCCAAAACCTTGGAGACACACATGCGGCCTTTAAACCTCAGATTGAATATTTGTTACCTCCTGGCTGAAGTAAAAAGGACTGCCCCATTTCAACCCATCTCTTTTGGTAACACCATCATAACACTAAAATGTGGGAGAGAAGAGCCCTGGTGGCACAATGGTTAGAATGCAATATTGCAGGCTAACTCTGCCCATAGCCAGGAGTTTGATCCTGACTGGCTCAAGGTTGACTCAGCCCTCCATCTCTCCGAAGTCACTAAAATAGGACCCAGATTGTTGGGGCAATATGTTGACTTGAAAACGCTTAGAGAGGGCTGTAAAGCTCTATGAAGTAGTGTATGTATAAGTGCTGCTGCTATTTAGCAGCCAACCCAATAGATATTGTCTAGTCTAACAAAGGCTATTGTGATTTCAAAAAGCTTCCCAAAGATTGTTTCATCAAGTAAAAACAAGCTTAAACAAGAACAAGGATACATTTACAATTTATATTAGAAACTGAAAAGTGGAACTAAAAGGTAGAATCCAGTAGTTTCACCTACTCTGGATATTGCAAGTGGCAACATCTTTATTTTCAAATTAACTATTTTATATTTTTATACATAACATATACCTGTACTATAGATACTTACACATCAGTCACAGAAGAAGGAACATTCTCTTCTACCCATTTCAAATCATCTTCTTGCTAAGTTTTTAAAAGTCAGGTGATTATTGGATTATTGTACACTTAAAATTATAGTACATTTTTGTGATGATTACATTCAATATAAAATATAAAGCAAAAAAGTATCTTCCCCATGTTTTTCCAATAAAATATCTCATTAAGTATATCTGATATTTTTTCACCTCTTTCTATCTTAGCGAGGCCCATAAACATTTTAGTACATTACTTTATATGTAACATAGGCCATCATTTAAAAAAAGATATGCTTTTTCTTTTAAAGCATGTTAAATAATGTATAGCATCCAAAGTGCTTTAACTTACCATTATTCATTAGAAAATTCCAGTTAGGTTATTCATATACATGTCCTTGCTTAATGTTCATTCATCCAGTCACCATTCAAAGTTATAACAGTACTGAACAAGAGGGACTTACAAAAGGTAAGTTCATTGTTGCAGCGTCCCCACAGTCATGTGATCAGGATCTGGGGGTTTGGCAACCAGCTTGAAATTATGACATTGCAATGTCCCACGGCCACATGATCATCCTTTGCAATATTCACTGTTAGCTTTTCACAAGCAAAGTCAATAGGGAAGCATACAAGAGGTTGCAAATGGCAATCACCTAACTGCAGGAGGCTGCAATCACACAGGATTCGTCTAACAGCAGCACCTGCAACTGCTGCCACCAGTATTAAGTTAACATGGTCACGTGATGTACTTTATGACTGTGTCCTTTAATAATAGAATTGCTGGCAACAGTTACAATTGTTAAGTAAGGACTACCTGTATAGTATCCAAAGTGCTTTAATTTATTAGTATTCATTGGGCAAATTCCATTAAATAATATGTTTAATTACTAAAATAATTAGTAATTTGGAAATTAGAGTTTATTCACATAATGGTAATTTTTTTCATCACACACACTATGCAAGAAATATATTTTGTAACAATCATAACATTTTTGCCATAAGAACCTAAAATATGTATTTATAAAAGGCATGAGGTTAAATGCAAATTTTAAAGGGACTTTGCCTTTGCTATTGCATCTCCTTTTTTAGTATATCTTAGTTCAATCCCAATAACTGAATCATAATTGCTGCCATTTATTGGAAGTAATATTTCACTAATGAGCATTAGCACATTATTCTCATGTCTTCCATTTTTCCAGGATTAGCTAAAAAATATTAGCAAAGAACTTACTGCTTTGTTGTTTTTAGGATTTCCATTTGATTCTTGTTTTGAAGTTCTCATTTTCATGCCCTCTGTAAAAATATTGGGGCAGGAATATTATTCAAGAATGCAATACACCATTATGTCAAGTATGTAAAATATAATACATAATATTTATCAGTGTTTAATTTATTTCTCACACTCAGAAAAGGTTTAAAAATGCTACTGTTTTATGGAAAAGTGGACTGGAGTTCTGTGGAGGCAACTCCTGGAGAAAATAATACAGGAAATATTATTTGGTCCTATAGGCCTGGTTTTCATCAGTATGAAATATATCTTCAAACAGACAAAAGCAAATCTAAACAAGGCAAAAGTGGAGAGTAGCTCATTGGGGCTACTTTACGAACAGAGGTATTATGTCTGCCAAACACAGAGCAAACAGTTCTGTGTGGAGATGTGAGAAAATGTGAGAGATCTGTTTTAACCTATTCTAGTTCCATTCTATATCCAAATGCTCTCATGAAGATATGAGGCTATATTTCTTGCATACTGAACAATATGATCAACTTTTAGAAGTTTATTGTTCCCTGGTTCACATGACATGGTAAATCATAATGTGATAGATATTTTGGTCTTAATATGTGCAGATACACCCAATGCAAAGGTGGGTTGCTCCCGGTTCGGCCGAACCCGTAGTGGTGGCGACAGGAGGCTCCGCCCACCCGGCCCGTATGCTTCTGCACATGTGCAGAAGCATTGCACGTGAGCGCTAGCATTCACATGAGCACAAGCAAACCAGTAGTAAACCGGTTAGCAACCCACCACTGACCCAATGGTGTATTATGCAGTCATTAAACCAAAACTCAATATAATGTGAGAATCTAGTCTGCCTTGTATATTTCATAAATGTCTGACTCAAATGTAACTATGTTTTCAGCTGCTGCTTGAATTCCAGTGCCAATGCAAAGGTTGGAGGTACCTTCCCATGAAATAAAATTATGTCTCTTAGGAACAAAAATGCAAGAAAATTGCTTATTGTGCCTTGTGTCACAAAAGAATGCAATAATGGGATGTAATTAAAACTTAAATTGGTGTAAAAAGATACTAGTGATAATACATATAGCTACAGATACGCCCTTTCATAATAAAAGTTGCATTCATAAAACACAGATGTTTTTCTTACCAAAGCTCTCTTTCAGCATTGGCTCTTTCTGTTCATCGTCCTCATCTTCTTCAGACAATGGTGAAAAAGCAAACCTTTCAGAAAGCAAAGTAACAAATAATGGCTCCATCAGATTGATATGAAATGTTTTTTACAGTTTCTTTAAACTGGCGATATATTTAAGATGGCTTGTAGTAGCTAAAGCTGAAAGGGAAAGTACTGGACAGCAATAATAAACAAATGCCTTAGATCAGGTGTGTCAAACTTGCATCGTCATGGTGTCGTCATGTGATATATTGCGATTTCCCCACACTAAACTGGGCGTGGCCAGTGTATGACGCATCTGGCCCATGGGCCGCGAGTTTGACACTCCTGACTTAGACTGTATCTACCAATATTTGTAGTACAAAGTATATGTACTATAAAGTAAAGTATACTATAAAGCATAGTGTAAAGTATAATACCGCTGGTTGTTGGCAGATGGCCTCCAAAGAATCATGATGACAAAAAGAATCATTGAGAATAACAGCCGCCAGATGGCATCATCAACCCATAGCTCTTGCCAATCCTGTTAATTAATATAAGATAGTAAACAATAAAAAATTCCATTTTTGAAAAGAAATTCCAACATTTTCAGTGTGGCAAAATTAAAGTTAAGTTTGACTCCTAGTGATTTTATGCTCATGTCCATGTTGTTTTCTTAGCAACAATAAAGAAATATCTGCATTTGCCACTGACTTCTCCCGTGATATATTCTAACCTTCCAAGATCAGCCTATAGTCTTGATATTGTCTATCGCATCTATCCAGATGTGAGCCAGCTTAGCCTCCAAGTTAAGACAAGTTTATCAAATTCCTAGCTATCTACTTAACTAGCAAAACTGACAAAAAAGAGATAGACTCACCGACTTACAATCCATCAGTCTGAATTTCAAAGTTGTCCAGATGATAAAAACAATAGATGCTGAAAGAATTTTTTAAAAAATAACATATACATATGGCAAAATATTAGCAACTCAGATTAAACTGCAGAACTCAATAACTTTTCTTTGTATATCATCTATAACCTATTCACAGTATTAAACTCATCTGCCTGATTTCTTTGAAACTGATTTTATTTTCACTGAAAATAAAAATCATTAAGAATCAACAGTTTTACAAAAAATATTTACCCTTAACTTCCTATTTAGTTCAATAAACCTAAGGCGATAACAAAGATAACAAAAATATGTTTTTTGTTTGAAATAGATTGGCAAGTATCAGTAAGTCATAAGAAGGCAATGTTTAATCTCCCTTCTGGTAAACTTTTTATTTCCTTTATCTCCTTCATTTATCTTACATGATTATTTATTTATGAAATAAATGTGGACATGTTTCTTGACAGTTTAAGCACCCAATTCCAAGTATCCTATGATATTTGGTTTAACAATGTTTATTTTAAAATTAGGAATAATTTCTATGATTTACCTGCTATTGCCAAGATGAGTGTATTGGTGAAGTGTCGGTAAAGAGAGAGCTTCACAACATTCTTCCTGAGCTTCAGCAATTTCATTGTTTGAGTTAAACTGATAAATATGTATACAAAGTCAAGGGAAGATTCAGTATATATATATACATTTATGACATAATCATGCTCTAGTTTCTCTTCAGATCTTAATTGACATCACCAGATATATTATTACCCAATTAATTCTGGAGAAATAATGTGTATATATATATATATATATATATAAAAAAAAAAAAACTCACAAAAATCTGAATGATATTCTACCTATTTTGCATCCTGACTCACGTATTAGTTGCCACCTTGAATCCCTGATACATATGTTATTAAAGATATTTAGATCTGGTATTGCTCCAAAGGCTGTTAAAAATAATAATCCTGTCTACAAGGAAATATGAACTAATAGAACAGAGATTACTCATGTGGCAACCTATCTCCAAACTTTAGGGTGCCTGCATAAAGTATTGTCCTTATGAACATAGTTTTCAGCAAATATATAGAAAGTATGACAACTACATTCAAATTCTGAGGAGGATTACTAAAATGAGCCCAGCATATCCCTTTTTGCCAATACAATGTAAATTGCCTTACAGTGGATGGATTCGTACTCCATTCTAAACCATGGTTTGCTTAAACATAATCAGCAGAATTAGATGGGTTTGTGTAACATACAACACCCCAAATCAAATCAATTGTGTTAGTGCAATGTTGAATCAAATTATTCAATCCAACCATCTCATCTAGCCTATTATTATTACCTGTGCTGAATAACAAACAACAACTCTCCAGTATTTTAGACAGGAGGTTTTCCAGCATAAATTGAAAATCCTCAGCTTGTCTTTCCCAACTGAGTGATGTACAACTTCAGATTTCAGAGTTCCCAACTACCACAACTACTGAAATACACATTTCTGGTGGGTACCTAAATTAGGCTTGGATACACTCTGTAGAAGTTCAGATTACAGTGATATATCCTACTGCCGAGGTGGCGCAGTGGTTAGAGTGCAGTACTGCAGCCACTTCAGCTGACTGCTAGTCTGCAGTTCAGCGGTTCAAATCTCACCGGCTCAAGGTTGACTCAGCCTTCCATCCTTCCGAGGTGGGTAAAATGAGGACCCAAACTGTGGGGGCAATATGCTAACTCTGTAAACTGCTTAGAGAGGGCTGAAAGCCCTATGAAGCGGTATATAAGTCTAACTGCTATTGCTATTGCTGCAACAAGAGCACTTCCAAAACTATAGGTAGTCTTCTACTTACAACTGTTCATTTGTGACTGTTCAAAGTTACAACAGCACTGAAAAAAGTGACATAACCATTTTCCCCTCGTATGACCATTACAGCATCCCCATGGTTACATGATTTACATTTGGAGGCCTGACAACTGGCTCATTTTTACGAAGATTGCAGTGTCCTGGGGTTACATGATCATCTTTTTTGACCTTCTGGCAGGCAAAGTCAATGGGGAAGCCAGATTCGCTTAACAACCATGTGACTAATGTAACAACTTGTGATTCACTTAACAACTGTGTCAAGAAAAGTCATAAAATGGGGTAGAACTCACTCAGCAACATAAAATTTGGGCTCAATTGTGGTCGTAGGTCGAGGCCTACCTCGGGTCATTGACAACGTGGGGTTGCATACATTATTCTGCAAACATTTAGCTTTCATTAGCCTCTTCGGTCGCCAGATTTGCAGTGAAATGCTGACCATTTTGACCCAAAAAAATCAACTAAGCTCAATGAGACTTGTTCTGTACTGTAGCTTTCTCCAACCTGCTGCCTTCCAGATGTATTGAGATTCAACACTTATCATGCTGAGTGAAGGAACAGAATGCTGAAATCAAACACATTTGGAATGCACTTTCAAATTCTCTAACTGAAATGCACTAGTAGAGGTAGGTAGGTAGGTAGGTAGGTAGGTAGGTAGGTAGGTAGGTAGGTAGGTAGGTAGGTAGGTGCAAAATGTTGGAGTATTATATTTGGGGAATCAATCCCATAATAACAAGATCAGACAGAGTATCTAAAGTAGAATGCCACCCACCATGAACACCCAGTTCCAAATAAATGAGCAATACACCAAATAAACCAGTGAAGAAGGATATCCACCAACAGAGGGCAGTATCTAGGAAAGCCAGTGGAATAAAAGCCAAGGAGGCAAGATCATTCTGTGCCTAGAGAGACAAAGAGAAAAAGGCATTGAAATCAGGAAACATGCCTACAAAGATTAAGGTTTGAGAAAAGATTGCACCCGAAAGCATAGAGCTGTTACCTTACTATCTTCTGAACACATTTCTCTTGCTGTGTTCCCAAAGAATAGGTCCAGTTATTATATTAGTCTAATATAAAATGCTATCTAGTCACAGTCTCTCTCTATGTGTGTGTGTGTGTGAATGTGTGTGTCCATATATAGAGATCTCATATACGGTACATACGTGTATTTCACACGTTTTTATTCTATTGGATTTTATTTTTTCTTTGAAGGGTACTTGTCAGTCACAGGATTTCAGTTCAACTACAGGTAGTCCTCAACTTACAACACTTTGTTTAATGACTGCTCCAATTTACAACATCGCTGAAAAAAGTGGCTCATGACCGTTTTTCTCACTTACAACCATTGCAGCATCCCCATGCACACATAAACGAAATTTAGATGCCTGGCAACTGATTCATATGACCTTCTGATGAGCAAAGTCAATGGGGAAGCCAGTTTCACTTAACAACTATGCTATTAACTCATTAATTTTGGGCTCAATGGTCAAAAAGCAAGGACTACCTGTACATAAGACCCATAGCTAAAAGCAACTGCAATCATTAATACTGAATGAACAGATAAAAGAAAGAATGCTAAGAACCCCAAAATGTCACTGTTGCAACCCAGGGGTGGGTTCCAGCTGCTGCTACTGCCAGTTTGCTCAGGGATGCGCCGCGCACACACGCATGCACAATACTAAAAAAAAATGACAAGATTGCGGCGCCTATGGCACCACCAAGAGAACCGCTTTAGGGGTGTGGCAGGCCTGGGTCACTGCTGGTTCCAGTGACCCAGGCCGCCAAGTTACTACCTAGATCGGAAGGCCCTTCAGACAGTCACTCACGCCCTTGTGACCTCAAGACTGGATTACTGTAACACGCTCTACATGGGGCTGCCCTTAAAGAGTGTTCGAAGACTTCAGCTGGTCCAGAACGCAGCTGCACGAGCTATTGTGGGTGCACCCAGGTACACCCACGTCACACCTATCCTCTGCGAGCTGCACTGGCTACCCATTAGTCTCCGGATCTGCTTCAAGGCACTGGTCGTTACCTATAAAGCCCTACATGGCATCGGACCTGGGTACCTGAGAGACCGCCTCCTGCCGATTACCTCCCATAGACCGATTAGATCTCACAGGTTAGGTCTTCTCCGGATTCCATCTGCCAGCCAATGTCGGCTGGCGACTCCCCGGGGGAGAGCCTTCTCTGTCGCAGCTCCAGCCCTTTGGAACGATCTCCCCGTGGAGATCCGGACCCTTACTACCCTCCCGGCCTTCCGCAAAGATGCTAAATGAGCCAACAATATGTTCCCTAAACACTTTTCCTGATTTAATCATTGGCTTGTAGGGAACAAACAGACTACTAGAAGTGAGCATGTAAAATATTTTTGAGTATAGCCAAAACAACATATGTACTTCTTTCCTGAGTTTGAAACTGGGCACAATTTGTATTTTGTATTTTTGTATTTAAGTTTATTTATATGCCGCCCTTTTCCCTGGGGGGACTCAGGGCGGCTTACAACTTAAGTGTTGTACAAAAGGTTGAATTAACTTTGGGTGAAAAGGGAAAATCCACTAATGTTAAGACATGTACCCCTCTTCCCAAACCAATGAAGAACCTACTTCTTTCTGTTGATGACATTTGCCAAAGCTAGGGAAAGGATACCAGGTGTGAGGACTTTGATATACAGATGATGGAAACAAGATGTAGATCCAAAATGTGAGGACCCTGAGGGCATCTGACAAAGGAGCTCTCAGATCTCCACTCTCTTTCACCCAGTGGACTTCATTGTTTTGCTACAGATCAGGGGTGTCAAACTCAATTTCATTGAGGGCCACTTCAGGGTTGTGTTTGGCCTAGAGGGGCCGGGGGGTGGCCAGGGGGCTCAACATCACTCGTGTCAGGGGTGTCTATGGCAGCCTGAGCACTCAGCCAGTGAAAATGGGCTCTCGAACTCTGTTTTCAGCTGTGCTGGCCTTCTGAAACCCTCTGCCAGAGAAAATGGAGTTTGAGAGGGCCGTGCGCCCTCCATTTTTGCTGGCAGAGGGCCCTTTGCTGCTTCCAGATTTGGAAGGTATGCAGGAAGATAAAGAAAGGTGATTTTTTTTTCTCATGAAGATAGTGGTTCATCAACACATTAATACTATTGGACCAAACCCCTAACTTAAATTCTTCTATACACAATTTTCACTTTCCATTAATCTACTATCATTTTTTTTCTACCAGAATACCACCAATGCAAGGAAGCAAAAATAAATAAATTGCAATGCCATAGACATGTGAATAATACCTTAACAATGCTATAAAGAGAAAGAAGAATAACTTATTTGGGCATATTATTGAATAGATGCATAAAACTGAGCTGTTTCACAAGGACAATGTCAATTATATAGAACACATATAGAATGGAAGGATTTATATTCCTTGCTGTCATCTGGCCCTTAGCACTCTTTTTGAGAATCGTTGAAGACACTTGGAGGTTTATCTGTAACCTCAGGGTCACTTGAATAGTGCAAGTGGCCTCAATGACTAGCAGAAAGAGTGCTAACAACCAGGCGACTGCAAGGAATATAAATCCTTCCTTTTACCACCATTCAGTTAGAACTGAAGAAGCTTCTTGGATGAGATGTGAAAAGTCTTCAAGCAAAAACAAAGTCCAGTTGACTTTTGAAAAAGCACCTTTGAGATACTCAGGTGATATTCAGATTTGTGAATTGGTCACAGTATTACCAAGTCATACCCTGAATTAAGAAATTACAGGGCCATAAAAAAGGGAGTTTTTATAAGGTGGTGTTTCTAAAGCTGAATCCTAAAAAGAGGGAGAGGATGAACTATTTGTTCACTATTTTTTTCAAACACATCTACAGTAGAGTTTTTCTTTAATCCATTCAAAATCCAGGATACATATTGCGATGATATACATTAGAAACAGAAGATTCAGTTTTTGAAAGGATATCCAATAAATAATACAGGAATCAATGATAGACAGTCCGAAGTTAGCTACAGCAACTATAACACCATGGAAAGACTGAAAAGGCATTAGAAAGAGAGTTGGTTTTATATTACAAATACAATAAAAAAGGATTTTTAAACATGGATCAGCATAGGAACAAGGAATAATAGTCCTACCAGATACAAAATAACACTCAATGGAACTTAATATACAGTTTACACTGAACAATATGGAGAAATAATAACCAGGCCAGGGATTGCCATGTGGCCTAGAAAAATTCATCTAGATACTCTGAGTTGGGAATGCTAATAGACTACAACTATGCAAACCAACAATATGGTAGTCAAGATTAACCTATAGTTTGATAGCCCATGAATTACAAAAAGGAATACTTTTTCAAAACTCCTCTGAGTAGGAAGTATTATCCACTTCATTAATGAAAATTTAAAAATAACATATAAAGGGCACAAAAAATTGAGATAAGCCAATCAAAAAAGATCTATTTCTGAAAGTCAACAGAAACTTACTGCTGCAGCGAGGACATTATTCCAAGAAATAGGTGCCACCGTCAAGAATGTCAACCATGAATATTCAACAAATTTATTATTTTATGTTATACAAAACTTGTTTTGCAACAAGCAAAATCTACCAGCTTCATGCATATGAGAGATACAAAAGTCTGAAACGTGATTACTAACCCCAGTGACTCTGAGGACACCTTCCATGCCAGAAAATAACAAATAAAGGGCTCCAGCTGCAATTACTTTATGAAGAGTGACTCCCAGACGAGGTCTGCAATTGGGAATAAAAGTTTAAGAGAAAGTGAAATTAGAGACTGGTTTCTCAAATGACATTTCATTTACTTATCTTTCATTTCTCCATCAAGGAAATGTGAACCTGTTACAATATTATTTGTAAATCTCTGTTATTTTTCTAACTTTGCTGATGTTTAGCGAGACATCTCAAATTCAACAAATGTGGTCAGCTTATCTCAAGCAGGCTGTCATACTCAACCGGCTAATTTCTGGATCCTATATTCCTCTCCCCAGAAGAGGTACTAAAGAACAACCAAAGAAGGGCCGAGTAACTATGTTAAAGATTGGGGAGCACAAAATCCATCAACATTCCGCTACTCCTCTGAACGTCCACCCAGGTCTTGCTATCCAGGGATGGTTCAGCAGTTTCCAGAAGTAAATTACATTCAGTTGTTTCTAGAAACTTCTGAATTTCTTTCTACATTTGCCCCCAGATCACCATGGCCCAGAAGAAAATTCAGGATTGTCCAGAGGGAAACAGAGTATTTGAGAGTTCTCCAAAATGTTGTGATCCTAAATCATAAATTTTGCATATACCTCTCAAAAGGCATTTTCCTTACTCCCCAAAAAATAACATAATTTCCAACTGGAGAAGAGGCCTACTGATCCTCTCAGAACACCCTTTCAAGTATTCTCTCCCTCTTTGCAAGATGTGAGGCCCGTGTGCATGTATCCCCTTGAAAAGCTAGTAGCAAGGTTGATATTTTCTGGTTTAATCATTGGAAATAAAGCATACATAAAAGCCCTTGAGGGATTCCAAGTGTGTCACTTGATGAAATTGAAAAAAAATTGGGGCACAAGGATTACTCACTTCACTATGCCATATCCCAGACTCACTATGATAACAAGAATTCGAGCAAGGGAGCGTTTCAATGCGGAAAGTAGCTCAGCCAGGATTAGTGCCTCTCGGACTGCAAATAAACACAGACAGGACACTTCCTGAACATACTGATTAGCATTTAAAGTATGCACTATACTGCAACAAATATTAATTTAAGAAAGGCTGAATATTAAATTAAAAAATAAATGGGAAATGACGTCTTTTTAATAACATTAGAACAATACAGAAAATATGAGAGCTATACTTTATGAAATACATTCAACTGAACTAAATGATGATTGTTTTGAATTAATTTTTAGAATATTTATATCAATCAGTTATTATCTCTTGTACTGAGACTGAGCTGATGAAAAAATTAATTTCAGAAATATTTTTGTTTGTTTTAATGCATGCTCTAAGGACTTTGATCAATTAAACGTTTTCCATTTGACAGATATGACCTAGAAAGGGTGACAGAAAATATTTTCTATCATTAGATAGAAAACGTTAGTGCAGATAGAAAATCATTCATATTCTTGCATTTGTGCATATATTTAAAAATGCTCTTCACACCTACCAGATTTTCCTGTATGGCGAATATTCTGGAATTCTGCATAAAATACCGCTTTCTCCAACATTCCAAGTAAGATAACTGTACCAATCCAAAACTGTATCCTTAGTAGATCCCGCCAGTAGCAGGCTGACCACGCAAACCACAGAACGCCAAACAACACATATACAATACACATCACCATGAAGAACTATTAGAGAAAGAAAAATAAAATGCAGTTTAAAGGATAATTGCAAACTTCTCTTTTCTAGGTGCTTATTTATATGGATAGATTCCTCCTAGATTTCTTTAATTCTGATTCTAATAGAATTTTTATTTTTTAAATTAATTATCATTTAAATTTAAATTATCAGTTAAATTCAATACCAGTAAAATCATCTATAAGTTTTATAGAACACAAAATTTAGCAGAATTAGGGCTGCTACTATAAATCTTCTTTCCCGATGTGGTAAAATTGTGATTTAGCCCTCTGTAAGCTTAATATTCAAGTTTATACTTGAATCCAACTAAACATACTTTACAGCAAATAATTCCATTAACTTACAATCATAAGAGGATAATCTGATAGAGAAAGGTATTCATATGGTCCAATCACTTCCACAGTCACTGTCAGAAAACAACCATGGAAAAGAACAAGAAATTAGGACTATAGAATAATAGCTCTGCTTGATGGTAGCTGTTTTGTACTGGCTCCTTTTAAATACAGCATCTTGTTTCCCAAAGCAGCAAGTAAAAGTCAGTGGGATCATACAAGGGAGCAGAACTCTTCCAATGTCAGCAACTTCAAATACAGGCTGCCTCTGACAGTAGTGAAATTATATGACTATTATGTGTACTAGCCACCAAGAGCCTTATCTCGGGTAATATTTAAGAGCCGAGGTAGCGCAGTGGTTAAATGCAGCACTGCAGGCTACTTCAGCTGACTGCAGTTCTGCAGTTCGGCTGTTCAAATCTCACCGGCTCAAGGTTGACTCAGCCTTCCATCCTTCCGAGGTGGGTAAAATGAGGACCCGGATTGTTGTTGGGGGCAATATGCTGACTCTGTAAACCACTTAGAGAGGGCTGAAAGCCCTATGAAGTGGTATATAAGTCTAACTGCTATTGCTATATTTTAAAACCACCTGACCATCATCATATGTTATGGTTCCACCTTCACATAGGCTAAATAATGTATTTTCATTAGTAAATACTGGGGCTTTGGGGTCTGGAATTCCTCTCTATTCAGCTGAATTAGATCTTCCCAAGATGATGGACAAGGACAAGGAGGAGGAGGAGGAGGAGGAGGAGGAGGAGGAGGAGGAGGAGGAAGAAGAAGAAGAAGAAGATGATGATTTACAAACTATACAAGTGACTGCTAAGATTACCTCCCTATGTCTTTTCCCAATGCTAAAGTATCAGGTAAGAAGAATTCATCATATTCACTTTTTTATTACCATACTTGTCAGAATAAAAGTTTACCACCTCACCCTTGTTACTGAACTAAAAGCCCCACACATAGTTTGCATGTTTGCTTGAAAGTTACTCCAAGCACGTAGTAATTTTGATTTCCCTTTTGTGCCCTTTTATCTACTATGCCATTTTCTTTTAAAAATCACCAAAGACACCATGAAAACTTCACTTATTATTGCCAGTCTTAAGACTCAAAAGGTGCAATGGACTGCCAAGGTTAGTGTAAGGAGCTTTTTCTAGACATTCCATTATAAACATCACATTTAAAAAAACTGGGAACCTTATTTATTTCATTATTGGGTTAGGATGTTTTCTCTTGCTCAGAGATAAAAGGGAGTCTTACATGGAGAAAACAAGGGAAAAGCAATTTGCAGATATTGCTACATATAAAGGCCTATGGTCGGGCTTGAAATAAACAAAAGCTCTTGCTTATTTCCCCTTCTATATCTAACCAAGCAAAAGTATCCCTGTAACTCCAAGACACACTTTTAAACATTAGCACGTAACATCTAAGTGTTTAGCCAAAATTACAAAATAAATGTACTACACAGGGCTCACTTGTTAATGGTGCTTTGGGTTGATCGGAAGGAGCCATAACATTTGGCAATTCTTCATGTGTTCCTTTAATATTCACTCCCTCCTTTGAAGATGAAATATAAACTTTTACAATAAAGATATATGGCCCATCTTTCCATGTTTGCATTACAGCATTCATTGCCTGAAACAAACACACAATTGTAAGTCACTACACAATGCAAGATTTCAAAGAATACATGTTTCTCCTGTGTCAACAAGAAAATCAGATGTAACCTAAACCACAAAACAATGTATAGTAAATTGTGTTATTCTATTAGGTGTTCTTTATTGTCAATATTAAACATTTACATACTATTTTAATTGGGAAGCATGAAGTACAGACGTTACAGGATGCATCTCCTGTAGTTAATGAATCATGCAAACAGCAGACTCACTTAACCAAACACAAATATAACAGTGCCCACTATATTCCACATACATTGCTTTTCACATACTTACAGAATTTTCTACGACAGTAGTGTTTGTTCCATTCTCTTTCCCATCCTATTTAAGGCAAAAGTAGATTTGGTCAAAAGCCTAAAAATATATTTGTAAATTAAAATTTTGCCAGCATTAATATTTTTTTAAATACCTCTTTACTCCCTAAGGGGGCTGGATGAACAAATTCACTGTAGAAATTCTAATAAAAGATAAACAATGGGTTTTAGTTACATTGCATATACACACGTATAGCAAATAGGTACAACATAATATTAATGAGATTACAACAATAAAGGGCTGCAAAGAACTGAATTCAGGAAATAAATGTATCTATGCTTATGTGTATATTCTAAAATCTGATGACACAACATGAGATGTTGGTCTAAGATAGCCATTCTAACATGCAGGCATTCACAATCAGGGAATGTCACCAGAGAAAGAGAAGTTCCTGATTGGTTCCAGCACAAATCCAGAAGCTCAGAACCTTAGTTAGTCTTGTCCCAGTAACCGACCCAGATTGATCCATGAATAGATAATTTGCTGCAATCATGTTTTGCCCACTTCTCCTGATCCTTTTCTGCTAAAGAGTATATCATGTGCATACAGCCAAATGTGTACTGTAAAACTAGGATGACGAGGCACATCCTTCCCAATTTCAACTTTTGTGTAGGGCAGGCATTTCTTTATCTTTTTTTTAATTACAGAAGCCTCCACCCAATCTCTGGACAGGTCTACAGTATCTATTTCTCCAATCGGAGTCAACTAGTGACAAGAGAGAAATGCAGATCTTACAATCAGAAAAATAGAAATCTGGTCCTTCAGATGTCTAACTTCTAAAAACTTTTATAGATGTAAGAAGTTGGCCACACTGACTTGATTAGCTGCACAACTTTAAAATCTGCTGTGAAAAGATGATAATAAGCAGGTAATAAGTGAGAAGAAATACAACAATGAATGAATCAATGTACATTAATACACTCATAGCCTAAGAGACAGGAGCATGTATGATATGTTAGGCTGAATCTGAAATAATACAATGCTGGCAAATGCAATGGAGCTTCACAATTCTGGATTACTGACAATGTGATCTTAAATATATTAAACATATGGTGACAACTTATGTAGGATGGAGTGATTTTAAAAGGGGTTGATCATAAATTAGTTTTGGTCACTTTAAGAAAGAAGTTATGATACATTTGACAGAGGGGAATATTTGCAGCTCAGGGTTAAAATGAGGGGGTCTCTGAGCCTGGTTGCTTTCTTGCAGATGTGTTTCATTACCTAAACTCGGTAACATCATTAGTGCTAATTAATGGGTAATGAAATACCTGTAATATATTTGCTATATAAATATATCATTACAACGACTTTTAGTAGTAATTCTTGGGCTCAGAAGTATTGAAATTCAAATCAAACAGATCCAAATAATCTTGCAAGCATAACCATCTACAAATGTAAAAGTTTTATTTCACCTCCTGAAAAGCTCATATGCTTCAGTATCTCAAATATGTTCTTGGAAAAAAAGCAGGACATGCATTTTCAGATAAATAGAGAAATACCAGCATATGCATACATACACATAGACACAGACACACACTGTAGCCTTGATTCATCTGTAATAAGATTTCACTAACAAATGCACTTATCAATAAACCTGCCCCATAGGCTCTGCACTGCCCCATATCATACCTGTGACTTGACAAGCTCACTACAATTAGAGAAGTGGAGATCAGCCGTAGCGTAGTATCCTGCCCAACCTGGATGTTGTTCTGAAGTGCTTTTAAAATATATATTTGCCTGTTCATCCTATCAAGACACATGAAATGATTTGAACTAGTTGATATATCAAGAGAAATACAAGTCAGAAAACAAAAACTGAAAACAAACATAACAATGTTCCTCATTAAAAGTAATGATTCAGAGCATCTCCAGTTAAAGAGAGCAAACAGTACACTATATGAAAGACTTCTCTTTAAACCTTGAAAAGGCTCAGTTAGGAGAGACAATATTAGAAAAGAATGTACAAATAATTTAATGATATGGGGCCAATTTCTATGCTCCTGTCTTGACATTGTTGAGGATTGATACATTAAATCTAAAACCAAAAATATACTTCAGAGGAGGCAAGGGTGCATATATCAAGCATATTGACCCCTTCTTACAATAGCTACTCGATTCCAGGAAAATATGTTTGAGTGAAGGAAGAAAGGCTTCCTTAAGTCAGTGTATTTTAAATGAAGAGGTGCTGACAGGTGTCGCATGAGTTCCCATACCCATTCTGAAGTTCTTTTTGGCTTTGGATGCAAAAACCTGCATATCCTTGTGGGGGGGAAAGAACATGTATACCTGCAAAAGAGTAAAGAGTATTACCTCAGAGGAAACTGGAAAGCAAAAGAAAAGTCCATGTTTCTAAATGTCACTATTGATTGTCATTTTAAGAGCTAATTATATTTTTAGATATTAATAAATCATAGGCAAAGTCAAACATCACCATTTTCCAAATCTTTCAGAGCAGACTTTTTTGACACAGCTCATGTATGATGGATTAAGAACTGTTAGCCAAAATGGCTGTTGAGGGGAAAAGCAAACAAAAATAACCTTTACTCTACATAAAGGGTCAGCAACATTTTCCTGTAGTGTGTCGTGGACCATAATGCTAAATTACTTTTTAACACCAATTTCTTACCCCGAAATTGAAGACTTCATTGTAGCAATAGGAGTATCTTAAGTACCAGCTTACAGTGTAACTTTGAGAAGGATCACAGGCGCTTTCATTGCCACTAACTAAACAAATCAGAAAAATATGTAAGAAATGCAGGAAATACTGCTGCCAAACTAACAGTGGATTTTGCAGCACCTTAATGACTAAAGCATTTACTACAGCTAGATATATGCAATATTTAGATGCAAAGCAGGAAAAGTACTTTGTGAGTATACCACATGCATGAACTTGCTGCATTTGTTATCAGCTCCTTGACGAAGCTGTACCAAAGGCCGATAGAAGAAGCATGCTTAGTTGAATCCAAAGCATATTTCTTGCTTAAGATGTAAATACTGCACAAGTCTATTATGGTAGAAAATTACATGGACTATTTCATATTACCAACTGCATGAATCTCATATCAATCAATCAACAATAAAATGCCTAAGGTTATTATTATCATTATTATCATCAATATATTATTACATTTTAATAGAAAAGTATAAAAATAGTCCTGTCCGTTTTTTTTACAGAAATGTAAGGGAAAAGAATTTATAAGATAATAGAGCCTAGCAAATAATTACAACTGTAAGAGTATAGTTTAGATTGGGAAGCAACCTATTTTTTAATTTCAGTTAAATTTTCAAAAACAGCCTTATAAAGCTAGTCAACAGCGTTGCAAGGCCAGAAAGCAAAAAATAATTTCTAGTGTTGATGTACTATTTGAAAATAAATCATTACTTCACAACGACACTGTTTAATTGTCTTGTCACTTTCCCATGTGTAAGTGAGCCTCTGCATTCAAGATGACCACGCAGATTATTTTATAAAAACAGCTTTTACCCAGAATTTTATATAGTTCTAAGAACTAAATCCCATTGAATAGAGGAGACCTACTTCCATATAAGTGTTAGACAGTCTTTATTTAGTAACAAAGATGTGTGTCTATATTGTTACCTAGCGATCATTTAGTATGTTGCCATCTAATCTAATATATGATCCAACTTCCATAATATCTCTCAGATAATGATTAATCATTTGTATACACTCACAAAGTTACACTTCATACTCTGCGTTTTTAAACAAGCTCACAAGAAACAAAAAACATACTACAAAGTCAATCATTCTTACTTATGAACCTGCCAGCCAAAACTATTAGTGAAATGTTTGAATACTGTACCAAATAATTAGATCATGGTCTACTGGTACAGAAGCTCATCAACATTATACTATGATTCCTTTGTGAAACTATGTTGACACTGTAATATCAACCACAGAAAAACAGGTTAGAGATTTATAAAAAGATGTGCTCTGCAATTTTATAAGCCCAAGTCATTAAGTCATCCTACATCACACATAGTCTCTAACATAGTAATTATGGAAGAATGGGAATTAACTTCAAGGTGCAGTATGAATATACTTACACTTTAGGAAAATAGTAGTGTTGCTAAAGAGAATTTTTCCAAAATGAAAATTTGTATTCTATAAGAGAAAGGAAATAAAGATAATCACTATCTAGATAATGAAAGTACATCAATATTGGGGGGACGGGCCCTGTATACTTAATACTACTAGACAGATAAGCATTTCCCACAAAATTCAAGTAGCTACTTGATTGTTAAATCATTGACCTTTCTATTATATGGAAGACTTTAGCATTATCCACAGCTTTTAAAACCAACCAGTATATAAGCTAAAGATCAGCAATCTACCACTTATGAGTGACATTGTATACATACTTTTTCCAGTTCTTATCTGTTCAACTCTAAAATAAATAAACACCTTTTTTAATGGCCAAAGTCTGCAGGAATGCCAAATGTCTTGAAATTTCAAACAAGAATACAAAATCTTACAGCATTTGGGCATCTATTGAGATTTTGATTATTGAGAAAAACATTATTGATTATGAGAAAAAGCAGAATTTTGAGTTAAAATTGCTGAGAGAAATATAAGTAACTGGAAACTTGTAGAACTGTGATGATTTCAAGCATGAAAGATTTAAAGAACATTGTCTTGAAAGTGAAAAAAGAATATGTAAAATCCAGCCTGATACTTTATATTTTAAAAAACTACTATTTAAAAAAAAGGCTATGTCAACAGGCAATGCCAACCAAGGGCAAATAGACAGAGAAGCTGAAGTAGTAACAGACTTTAACTCCCTGCACGCAAAGGATAGTGACTGTTTACCCTGTTTCCCTGAAAATATTGCAACACAGCAGTCATGAGATGACCATGCTCGCCGCCTCCTGCACTTTTCCTGCATAGAAGTCTACTTATAAGAAAGCCTAAGACACGTCTAGACAAAATGTTAAACTGCAAAGGAAAATTCCTAACACTACTGTGTTTCTCCGAAAATAAGACAGGGTCTTATTTTCTTTTGACCTCTGATATAAGTACTTGGCCTTATTTTCAGGGAGGTCTTATTATTTTTGAGGTGCAGGAGGCGGCGAGCATAGTCACTTCACTCATGGCTGCTGTGTTGCAATATTTTTAGGGAGAGCTTATTTTCAGAGGAGGGATTATTTTCGAGCATGCACTCAAAAGCCCGATTGGGCTTATTATTCGAGGAGGTCTTATTTTCATGGAAATAGGGTAAATATACATATTATAAAGTCATGTTTTTTTTCAGTTGCAACACATGTGCCTTGGAAAACTAGACAATCAAAATGGCTGAACGAAGAAAAAAGTGATGCCTTTGAATTTTTGTGTTGGAAGGATTTTCTGAGAATAATTTAGATTGCAAGAAGAAAAAGGGTAAATGAAGTAAAGCCAGGCTACTCACTGGAAGCAGCAATAATTAAACTAAAGCTTAAATATATTAGATATTGATATAATCTTGAAAGCAGCAGTCATTAGCAAAAAAATAAATCCAATGCCCAGCTAATTGAAAAGGAAGCCAACAGAAAACATGCTGATTAGAAAGAAACATGAACTAGAAGAATTCAAAAAGCAATTACTGATAGACAATTCTGCTGAAATGACATTCATTAGATCACAAAGAATCAGAAGTGACTGAACAGCTGTACAACAATCACTGACAGTACCTCTGCAAACCATCAGTAAGTTCATCCATCACAGTTTGGGAACCCCTGGCCTAAAATATATTTTCACAAATCATAGATATACTCTTCTATTATTGTTACCACATTGACATAAAAGGTAAATAGTAATGTTATCATATCTGCAATTCCTGGGAATAAACCTGTTATTTATTTATTACTTATAAATAAATATTTGCCACGAGCTGTATTGGTGACCAGTTTGCTTCCGGGTCCAATGGCTGATTTTGACTTTTAAAGGCATTGCATGATACTGAACATCTTCCTGTTCCATCAGATCCAGCAGAAAAAGCATGCAATGTGTTCCATTGGCTAAACTTCACTACGTAGATCCTAGTGATGGCCCTTTTCTGCTGTGGCTCCTCAATATTGAACATTCTTCCCTTTGAAGTCAGGCTAGCCTCATCCCTTTTAACTTTCCGGATATCCCTGACAATCTGCTTGTGTTATCAGGCTGGATGGCATACAGTAAAGCAAATATAAGCTTTACTGTACACCACCCAGAGTCACTTGTCTATAAAACCAGCGATCATATAAATATGACAAACTAAGGAAGAAAGAAACAGAGATAAGGCTACACAGAATCATTCATGTATATCGTCCGATTATTTAGTGCTTGATGAGCCATATTTAAAACTTGCAGCAAATCGCATTAGGATTGTTACTGTCAAAAACTAAGAAATAGGCCTTTATGAAATAGCTTAAAATAGGGAAGGCGGTATATTCAGTGAAAAAGGAGGCAGAGTTCAATTAAGCCTACATTTGGTTTCAAACCTCCTCCCAATTAAGAATGTATTGGTAGCTTAGACAAACCTATCACTCACTAACAAGATTTTTCATGAAATCATGCTGTAAATGCTTCACTGAAATGAAGTGCATAAAGTTCTCTTATAATACCCGTTATTACACAGGTTGTAATTATATTCATACTTTCTTAGAAGCAAGCCCCATTGAAAACTGAATAATTCAGTTAAACCCTGAATAAGTTATTTAAAAAAAAATTAAGACAACTGAGAAAAATATATATCTGATGCTTTGTTGGGAAGAGATCTTTGTAGGTGCAATGTATTAAAAATGGCACCCGATTAAAGATTTGCTTTAGGTAAACATATACTAGAAAGTACATGATGTGATAGATACTTTGAATGCTCCCAAATATGATTTTTCTGCACCACTTGCCTAATTTGCAATGGAAGGTCCAGTCAGTATATACTAAATTTTCTATAGAACTTTTCCCAAACAACACACAAACCATCAACTAAAGAGAAAAAAAGTGCATGTTGCTTTCATCAAATGTCTACTTGAAAGCATCCTGATATTCAAATTCAAATCCTCTCTTCCCTTATCTCTGCTATCTTGAGCCAATAACTCACAATTAGCCTATATAGCAAGGAAGAATATACTATATTATATATGAATTATAGAACTATATGAATCGCAAACAAGATAAGGGCTCAGATAGTCTGCCCCCACCTTTTAGTTAATATTTCACCATACTGGCATTCTGAAACCCTCTTGTAGTAGTATTTTGTTATCACATACCAGTAATAATTACTTTCAAGATACTCTTACATCATTTCTTGTGTGAGAAATTAAGATAGGGGAAGCTCCCAGATTATTATAGCAGGGCAGTCCCATGAATAAAACAGAGGCAGATGCTAAAATCTTTCTGCAAATGTCATCAGCATTATGCTCATATCACCGCTAAGATTAATATTTTCAGCAATAAAATATGAAACGCACTTTCTTTATTACCATATTTTGTGACTGCCTCCTTTCTAGCCTTCTAATTAGATGGGCAACCCTTCAACCACAAGAGCTTCCTCCACTTTAACCAAATCTCCTACCCCACACCTGTATGTAATAGCGTTGAGATTAAAAAATAAGTATGGGAAGCTCAGGGCCTGCTTCCCCCATTATTTATTTCATTCCCACCCACATGGCAGGATTTTGAAAAATGGATAGTTCCCGATGAACCAGTTCAATCTCAGTTATTAAAAATAGAAACAGAGGCCAAAAAAAAAAAACACCCCTGTCCAGGGGTGTCACCAAAACCGGACACCAAAACAAATGACAAGACTGCCCAAACTGCCTCATCCTGGAAGGCAGCTTCCCAGGAAGGCAGCAAAGACGGAAAGGCTCCAGGTGGCTCCGGAGCCTCCAAACGACCCCCTGGCCTTCAAGGAAACCCTGCCCCGAGCAGGGGCATCCAGCTCCCTCAGATCCAGGCCACCTGGCTTCCTCTTCGACCTGCCCATTCAAAAGGACGGCGAGGCGGGGCAGGCTGCCCTGCGAGCTCACCATGGTCAGCGGCAGTTCCCACTTGGAGAACTGGCTGGCTCCAGCCGGGCACGGCAGCTCTGCAAAGAGGAGCTGGAGGAGCAGCAGGGTCAGTCCTACAGAGAGGCGCCCCCGCGGCAGCGGCATCCTCCCGGACGCGCCTGACACCGCCATCCCTTCTCAGCGAAATCGACAAGGAAACGAACCCGCACCGGAGCGCTCGCCTCCCCTTCCGCTCCTCCGCCGAGGCTCCGAACCGAGGGTGAGTGATGGGGCACCGCCGGATTGGTTCTAGCGCCCAGGCGAGATGGGCGGGGAGCTCGGCTCTTCCGCAGAGCCAACGGTGCTTTCGCGAGAGTGGCGGTAGCGGGCGAGATGCTTCTTCTCTCCGCGCGGTTGGGTCGGGGGCAAGTTCTGCGGAGGGCGAGCCTGCATATCCTGCATTATGTTCCGTGTTCGATTTGCTCGTAGCGGACTCCTGGGAAAGGTTGACTTTGCATCCTTTCTATTATTTGCTCCATAAACAAATAATTTTATTTGTACAGCGCGTCGTTTAAGAGGACAGATCCTCTAAATACTTTGTTTTCAGATGAGCTTCATCTGTACGGTGAATAAAACCCATGTTTATGTAAACTGAGGCCTCTTGCACCACTTTTTATTTTCCAAAAGCAAAGCAGAATTGGACCTGGTTTATTAGTATTTGGAAAGGAGAACATTGCAAAATTTTACAACTATGAGCTGGAATGGTACATGAAAAATATCCCAGAAGAAAGGGATATGTACTACCACTGAAGCATTGTTGTTAGGAAAACTACGGGTAGCCCTCAACTTATTACAATTCAGCCTAAAATTTCTGTTGCTAAGTGAGACATTTGCTGCGTGAGTTTTGTCCCATTTTAGGACCTTTCTTGCCACGGTTGTTCAGTGAATCACTGCAGTTGTGATATTAGTAACACAGTTAAATAAATCTGCCTTCCCCATTGACTTTGCTTGACAGCCACAATAAATTAAGCGAGGTTTAAAAAAGGATGAATAAAACTAAGAGATCTCAATATTTTTGAACAAAATATTAAGTAGATCTTAGTTTTTATTCATATTTTTGGAACTAGGAATTGGCATAACTTCAAGCAAAACTTGTTTTACTCATGTACAATTAAACCGATTTAAGAAGAAAACAGTAATAAGAAGTAATACTTCTTGAGTTCTATCCTGAATGCAGCTCTCTGAGCACTACAGATTTACTACCAGCAAAGCATATGCATACTGACGTCTCTTCCACGTTATTGGTCAAGTGTCAGAAATAAAAACTCCATTTCCCAGCATGCAATAAGGGATTGTGAAGTGGAAATTTATTGGCTAGATAATTTCCTCATCGTTTCCTAACGAATACCGGTAGTTCAAAAATAGTTCACTCCGGATCATGGAATCCAGCAGTCAAGAAATCAGGTAGATATATACGATTTTGCAGTAACTGATTTGCAAATCTTACTTAAGCACAATGCATGATTCTAAAAGAATCCACATAATTTTTAATTCTGAAATGTTAGTTTGAATTCATGCAGAAATTAAGACTACACACTTACAAAACAGAGCTGGGAATAAAAATATAGATGGAATGCAAATAATACATTTAGAACATTGACACTAATATACTATGTAATAAATAATATAATTATACCAGCAAGTATAAAGTGAAGAAGTTCCAGAAAGACAAAATCAATCACATGACCCTTGAAAAAGCAGCTTAATTGAGGAAGTGAAAGTTCACAATGTAAACCTAATTATTCTTTTAACCTTTTTTCAATACAATAGCCTTGTTGCAACTTGATTACTGCAGTCATATGAATACAAATATTTTTGAAATGGGCTGCAGGCAGTTATTTGACATGAAGAGTTGTGCAGATGTATGAGTTGAAGTGATCCAAAGCTGTTTAGGGTGCAGAAGTTAATTATTTATTCATATTTCTGTATTTCAATCAGTCTTATGCTTGGCTTGTTGAATTATAGGTAGCAGTCCCAGAATATTTTCTATGTGTGCATATAATCAAATCAGCACCCCTTGATTTAATTATAGTATAATTAGTGTTTCTTGCAGTAAGAAAACATACATTTTACTGCCCTACAACAGTTCTATTTTTGTTTTGTTTGACCTAATTGTGAAGATATATGATGTTTGTTTGTTTGTTTATCAACCATATTTACCACCATCGACCCTGGGCAGCATAAAATAAAAAACAAACATATTAAAAACACAATATTATTAAAAACATGAAATGGATTAGTTCATTGCTTAATTTTATATGGAGCATTATACCAGCCTTGGACATGTGTTTACTGGTTGAGTTGACTTTTGCAGGTTTGAATACTTGAGAATTGGAATAAGTATCCAATATCTGCTTAAAGAAGATAATCCATTTGAAAATTTAAAAAAGACACCATAAGAATGATTTCATTTAATTGACTTAGGTGTTCTCAGTCAACTGAGGTTTCACTTTATTGCTTTGGAATAATATTGATAAATTGAAAGTGATTCATTCTTGCAAATATTATATGTAATGTAGAATCCATTTCTAGTGTAGCTGCTTAATGTGACCAGTATGCAATTAATACAGGCAATTATTTCAGAACTTTCCATTATATGCATCAGAATAAGCTTATTCCGGTGTCTATAGCTGAGGGGAAAATAATCTTTATTTCTTCACTATACGTTTTAGAAATGTTATATTTTCTTGTATTTAGCGTTCAAGATGAGGCTGTGGATAAAAGCCGTTTTAAGACATGCAAGCAAATTGCCTTTTACAGGTAAAATTATGAATATTCTGTTATCTGCAAATATTGTATTCATATAACATTGCAAGGTATGGCCAACTGTCACTGAAGAGGATTGCAGCAATATAACTTATATTGCAAAGTTTGCATTGAGAGGAACTTTATAAGGGCTACTTGATGTGTGCTGCAAAAAATCCCTATGACCTCTACATGGCAGCAAAGAGTTTTATGTATTTATTCATTAAATTTCTACACTGCCCATCTTACCACGCAGATACCCAAAAAACCTCACTCCTTAATTCTTGCTGCCATTTAGTGGTGGTCCAAGTTTTTTTGCCGGGATTTTCTAGCTCTAATTTAAAAATTGTTCCATTAATATAGTTAATCCCTTTATGTGTTTCCTCAAATGCCAAAGCCTCCCAAGACAGGTTACAATAAAAACAAATGTGAAATTGACAATAAAGCAATTCTCAAACCAATATAAAATAATATAAATGTATTTTTCAAACATATTTAAAGGGGGGGGGGGAATCTGGCCTTCAGCTTTGATGAAGAAAAAAGTCTGAGCATCTGAGAAATATTATATTATTACAATTCAGCCTACCTCAACCCAGTGTAGTTCTAGCTTTCCTGTAGAGTCTGGTTCCTGGTGTGGTCTACCTCATAGGGTTGTCATTACTCCAGTAATTTGATTCACACAGTGGCCAACCAGCTGCCTTTTGAATGTTCCTAAGCAGGTGATACGGACATATATCCCTTCCCAGCTTCATTACCTCACAACTGGCACTGCAAGGACTGGCAAGACCAGTTGCAAGTTAGTAGTATATCTGTCTGATTCCACAATTAAATTCCATGTTGTGGAAATAATGTTTTCCTTTGGTTCTTTTTAAATCTCTTTCCAATCATCTTCATTGGATGGTTCCTCTTCCTAGCATCTTCATTGGATGATTCCTCTTCCTAGCATTTTGAGAAAGGACAAAATACTTCTGTCCACTTTTTCCATGCCATGAATGACTTTAAAACCCCAGGTGTGCTTTCTTTCTTTCTTTCTTTCTTTCTTTCTTTCTTTCTTTCTTTCTTTCTTTCTTTCTTTCTTTCTTTCTTTCTTTCTTTCTTTCTTTCTTTCTNTCTTTCTTTCTTTCTTTCTTTCTTTCTTTCTTTCTTTCTTTCTTTCTTTCTTTCTTTCTTTCTTTCTTCCTTCCTTCCTTCCTTCCTTCCTTTCCAATTGGAGTGCCAGATATCATAACTATTTCTTCTGTTCAATAATCAGATTTTAGTTGCCCTCTGCTGCACTTTATTCAGTGCTGTTTTATTATTTGTCGAATAATCAGAACTCTACCCTGTATTCCACACGTATTTATTCAATTAGGATGGCCACCTATCACAAATAAAAATAAGATGAAAATATAACAAAACATGTCTCTTTTTAATATTTAATACTTTATTATTAAATACTTAGTTATTAAACACTTTAATAAATATTAAATACTTTAATAAATATTAAATACATTAATATTTAAGATTTGAAATTATGTAATTTAGACCCATTGGTCTAATGGTATTTAGTCAACACTTTGAATATGATCACATGGAATTTAATCAATTTTTTGAATATGATCACATTATCATCTATAATACAGGTAATATAATTTTTTATGTTCTTTGTTGGGTACATCAGGCGTCAGAAACGTTTATGTCCTGGGAAATCCCCGTACCAAGCCTTACTACAAACTGTGGAGCTATCCAACAGCAATGTCAAATTCCAAATTTTCAATGAAGAGAGCAAGGTAGGAGTACCTCTCAGTGTTTGATCAAAAACATTGATGCTCAGTTTGCATGTAAAATCAGTCTTTTTGATCTGGTGGATGTTAGATAGTATTTTACATTATGTTGGGAAGTAGTTAAATGATTTTAGCTAGTATTTATTTAGCTTTGTGACCTTTGCATGGCGAAGGTGCGGTGGTATTATGTAATATTTCAAAAGCTCCTTCCATAATTAATGTTATATACATTATTTTATTTATCAAGCAATTTGTTTTCAAATGTTTGTGCCATGAAGCTAGGTAAACATGTAGGTAGTCCTTATTTAAAGTCCAATGATTCAGCGATCTTTCAAAGTTACAATGGTGCTGAATAAAGGAGCTGGTCCTCAAAGTTTCAGTCATTGAAGCACCCTCAAAATTCAGACACCCCTCAGGCCCACCTGCAATTATGAATGCCTTTTGGCCGCCCACCTATCTACTACGGCCAACTGCCACAACAACGTGTCCACTTCAGTGCACCCTAATGCTGTACTAACCAAGGTCTTCTTTCATGTTGCTTTCTTTCATGCATC